AAATTTTAGATGGCACTGGCAAAAATTGTTTTCTGGGTTGAACTATACTCATTCATTACACTGATAGAAAGGATTAGTTATTGTTAACGGGTGGATTTGATTGGAGACGAGGGTCCATTCGGTCTTACCAAACGTTCTTTCGTTAATAGTTAACAAATCCATATTTGAGGAGCCTTGTCTGACTCTATTTTCACTTTTCAACGAACCATTCGTTAACTATTAACAAATATTCATTTGGTCAAATTCAATTCTACCATTCATTAATAGTTAGCGAATCTCGTTTGAAATGAATGAATCTGTCTATCAGTGTAGAAAAATGCAATTATCTAGGGGAGGAAATCTGGAAAGTTAAGGGAAATAAATTTTTGAATTTTCAATTGATTGAAAATTGAAGAATACATTACATGATTTAGTTCACTAAAGTTTACTAATGTTTTGATTGAAAATTCAGATGAGTTGAGGAATTCTCATCTTTCTGCTCTTCAAAAATTTCGAATTCGAATGAATTTTCGAATGAAAACGCCGAATCATCATTTTTGAGCTCACATTAGGTGAAAAAAAAAAGTTGTCTGAATTTCGCTCTATATTCATTTTTTGTATCGTTCCATTTTGCCCCACCGTTTCATTTTGCCCTGCTTTCCATTTTGCCCCACCCTTCCCTACTTGTTTTCAAAGAAATTCTGGAAAAATAAGAAAAAATCCCGAAATCTTCAGAAAGTTCTGGAACTTTCTAAGATGCATCCCTTTGTAGGCAACTTGTTAGTATAATAATTCCTAGCCTATGATATGAACTGTAAACCAATTAAGGATAATCGGGCGCGGAGGAAATGTAGCAGGTGAGGCGGAGGGGTTTCTATTGTTTTCCTGCAGAAAACCATTCGCTAAACAAAAAAATTTTTCCCATTCGGATTCAAAATTCAGGCAGTATCAGGGAGTATCTCCGGTTAAAAATTATTTTTGGAGCTTATCAAATTTATTTGTATCTGTTCCACGCATTGAATGGTTTTCAGATTGTTTTTTTTTTTCATAAATGACAAAATATTAATCCATGCGAAAAAGTGGCAACATCATCGGTAGTTTTCTTTTTTTCACCACGAGCTGGTACCACTGGCTCGAGTTAGCTCCAATCACAACGCTTCATCGCTCTCTCTCAAGAGACGTTTAAATTTACTGCGCTACCCCCACCCGATCGGTACTTGGGACGTTGCTGCTCGTTTGGGCTGCGTGCGCAGAAATTTCATTTTCCAGTACTTTTTTCGCTATTATTAATAAACAATGCTCCTAGACGACAATCTTTTTCACTCAAAAAATCATTGATCACATGTTCTAAATGCGTCTAAAGTTTCATGACTTTGGCTGCATTTTTTCCTTGGGTTTTGCAGTTTTTTTGGTGATTTCCATAAGANTCTTTTTCATCATTTAAAGAATACGTAAACAAAAAAAAAGAAAATGGCTGCTTTTATTCTAACCCTCTGGACTCGCCCGATTATCCTTAACAGAGAAAATCCCATTAAATGTCATTCAGTCATGTCATATTTTATTATTGTGTAAAAAGATGAGATGAAGTAGAAAAAGAATGTTTCAAAAATGCAGCCAACAACAAACATGATATTCAGAGCTCCATTGATTGTTGTAATTAGCTAAATACGAGTGGTTTAATTACTACTATTTAGTAAAGCGTGCAGCGTTCATGTGCCCCCTTGCGAGCTGAATATCGCTTTAATAATAACGGTATTAATCATGTACGTTATTGACTGAATAATCACGATTCTTTCATTAGCCATTCGAAAATTCATCACGTGCAGCAGTTAGCAGGTTTTACTCACTAGGTCTATCAATTTCAAACGAGCAATTTGATAGTGAAGTGTGGAAACAGACAAGTCGATTTTTCAAGTCGTAAAATTCAGTAGCGAAGCGCTAAAGGGTGATAAGTCGTTTTTTTCCGAAAATGAGTTATTGACGAAAAACGATTCTATATACATGGAGAAATTTTTTTTAGAAAAATTCAAATGCCAGCACGAGAAAAGAGGCGCAAAGTGACGGTCAGGAAAAAATTCCAGTGCCGGCACTAGAAATTTTCTTGGGGAAAACGTGAATTTTTCCCCGTATTTCTGTGAAAATTTCACAGAAATCTCCAGGAATTTTACCAGAAATACCAAGAAATTTTACCTTAACAGCATTAGAATTTTTCACAGCCGGTGAATTGTGATTTTTTCCAGTACTCGTACTAGAATTTTTCTAGAAAATTTCTCTCCGTGGATTGTATTACTAGGGGACTTCGCGCCTTGCTCGCTTCGCTCGCCAACCCCGTAGGGCTTCGCACCCCGCTCGCTTCCCCCCGTCGCAAATTTTCTTGGGTCTGTTTAGGTGTTCGTATTGTATAGAAATAAAATTGATAGAATGATTGACCTTCTTTGAAAAATTGACATTTTTATTATTTATGGCATATATGGCATTATGATATATATATTTACTTATTTATAAAAGACTTCAAACAACGCCTTTTGTCTTGAGACTTATCCATTTATTTTCCCATTTATTTATATAGAATAGAATGAGGTATATGATATACCTCTTATGATAATTTTTTAAGCATTTGACGGCCAGATAATCCCCATATGACCCATATGAACTTATAGAGATATAATCATGTTAAAGATATAGAGATAATAATTTATCTCATCATCAGGCTCACACATAAGGGTCAGAATCAGGAGCGTCTCCTGAATTTCTAAACTTCCTTATTTTTCTATTGTATAGAAAGCCGTATCCTCTATAAACGATTTGAATAAAAAAATTCACTTTGTGCCGTTTGAGGGTTTGTAGGGGTTACTCAGACAACCCAAACCACAGATGAAACCCCGGTCGTCAATTTGACCTTTCTGCTCCGGTTGACTCTTGCGATTAGAGCCTAAAGGGAGTCCGCTCACAATAGGGATGATTTTGTGGGAAAAGGTCGATAAATGATCACTTTCGTTTGTTTAATAAAATGGATAATATAATAGAAATTTTAGATTTAATTACAACCAAACAAATTGAAAATATTTTATAGATTTGACCAACTTTAATATTCAGATCGAACAAATTGAATCAATGGATCAATTAGATAAAACTGTTGGAATTTAACTTTTCAAATATTTAATTCGATGAGTCAATTAACAAAAAGGAAAAAGAAAGATTTTAGCTATAAATTGAAAGTGATTGATCCAATGTAATACATAATATAACAAAAATAATTCTTAAGTGGAGAACATCGCATGCATATTCGATCTATTCATGGTAGGTTTCAGATAAAAAATCGGTGCTTTTTGGGCAAAAGGAGGATGATACTGAATGAAAAAATGACGTTTTTTCTGGAAATTAGATAATATTCCTGAAGAGACAAAATAAGTTTAAGAGAAAGAAAAGATGTTATTGCTTTCCTTTAAACTCATTGCGACTGAGAGCAACTGACGATTATATTTTAGAAATATCGGAAGGTTCTCCCCTTTATAAATTCTGTATTAATTCAGTATGAAATATTCAATATGTCTCGGATCCATGATTCACTGAATCGAAGCTTTTAGTATTTTTAGTGATTTTCCCATCTTTTTACACGATGTAAACGATTTTTTGGGACAAGGAATTGGCCCTTTATCGTCAAGAGTTCGTGTTCAAGTCATGAACATTTCATAGGATTCTTATACGGTCTGACTTATTATGTGGAATCCTTATCCCAAGCGTTTTATCCTTAAGAGAAGAGATATATGACGCAAGAAATTAGTTTTGTGATATTATGCCAATATTTCTCTCAGTGTAGACATTCAAAGATCTGTCAATTGTAAAATTCTTTGAAACTCGTATCAAACATCCAAGTGAATTAAATCCATTAAATATCGTATTTTTTTTTATTTCAAAATCACAACAAACCAAATAGCCTGAGTGAAATTATTTATAACTCAAGGACATCTTTTACAACGATGCAACACCGAATGTCCACGAATTCTTTCCAAATTTTTATTTTGTCCAAACAGAATTGTATCTACAGGATTCTTACCCATAAGGTAGCATAAAATATCTCTTGACATTTATTATCCCGTAATCTGCTCCCTTCCGAGACAATCCATCAAATAAAACAAATGTTACCGTTTCCTTACCCTCTCTTCCATGTCGTTCCATCAACCCCCAAAGTTTGTCCAACACCGATATCCTTAAAAATATTCCAAGCCTTGCTCCATATGAATAATGCATCACCAAAAAATGATCCAGACTATCATTGAAAACATTCCAGCTAAATCGACGAGTGTCGTTCAACTGAATTCTTCCGAACCAAATCCAGACCGAATGAAATGGCTGTCGATATTGGAAGCCCCCCCCGGGGAATGCAATTTCAAAATTCTCGATAGAAAAAACCTTGGAATTCTCTCTTCTACTAAAATTCTTCAAACTCCGCAAACAGTCTTTTTCACCAGTATAATGTGAAAGTAATGGAAATTGAATTTCAGTATGAACTCAATAAAATAGGATATCACATCCTCTTTTCTTACGTCACACTCGATCGTCACGAGACTTTTTTCTCTCTTCACTTTACCGTCTTTTCGGCTTAAAAGCTATCCTGTAAAGGTATACTGCTATATACAACTATAAAAGTAAATAACCCAGACGATAGAATCAGAAGGGAGGGGGCGGTGGGGGATGAGGGGGAGAGGTGAGGGGCTCCCGTCGTAGTATATTGAATACCCTTCACTATACTTTGAGAGTTTCAAGCTTGAAGTCTTCGTTTCTCTCTTCTTGCTTCCGCATTTTCTCCACCGAAAACCCTCCAAACCCAATATACAGGCTCTCACTTCTCGTTTTATTCACTACTATCGCAAAAGTTTTTTGTGCGTATCGTGTAACGGTGGTACCTCTGTGGATATTTATTCTAGCATGCAGTGGTGTCCAAAGGAAACGATAGTTGTCAGTGGAGAGGCTTCTTGGAAAATGGAAATGACAAATAGGAAGATTCAATTTTTCAACAGTTCACCTTTTATCAACTATTTTTTGTATTTGATTTATTCACTGTGGACTCGGTCGAAATATCAGTGGTCGTGATCGGTGACCGTTTCATTTACATAAAGAGACGAGATTGAAAGCTAGTGTAATGTCCTCAGTTCCGTTCCTCGCGCCCGGTGTAGTACTTCAAGTTGTATGCGATGTACGCTGGAGTTGCCAGGACACCAGTAGCTATGAGGATTCCGTGCGCACATTGTTCCTGTAATTATAGAAGAATATGTTTATTAAAATTGATAATTATTGACTTGGTTGTCCTTAATTATTACAAAATTTAGTGTAACGTTTTTTGAAGCCAATCTATTCGGTGTATTGTGTCATTAGGTTTTTTATAAATGATGATAACATACATTAAAGATATTACGATAATACTATATTATATTATCATATATTCTATACTATACTATATTATAATGCTTTAGGCATATATAATGGTACATGCAATGTAACACAATATCGTATACTCAATGTATGTTATTATTATTATCAGTTTATTATTCAATTTTTTTATTATCTACATTATATTTTATAATACATATAGTACTATATTATATGAAGTATTCTATGCCAAATGAGTCAACGGCTGACCCTCACCCTCTTGAAAATTAATGGCGATTTTTTCTACGATTGGGGGGCTTCAAAACCTATCTCTCAAATTTTTTAAGTTTTTTTTGACAGCCCAGTTCGGAGATATTCTTTTTTTCAAATTGTTCGTTTTTTTTACAATGACTCGAGTTCTACTCATCCGATTTCGATTTATTAGGGATCCAAATTTTCCATTTTTCACCACCTATAAGAACGGTTTTGTCCAAATTTTTACAAATCTCTAGATGCTCGAAATAACGAATTTTCGAAAAAAAAGTTGAAAAACTTGAATTTGGCTAATTACGTCACGGTTTATTATTTCAATTTTTTTTTTTGTAATTCCTATAATCAAAACAAAAATTTTGAGCTGTCATACATGTTGGGTTTCATCTTAGATCTATTTTATTTTTAATTTTTTATTCTCAAAATTCCGCGAATTCGGTCAAAATACCCCAAAATGTCATTGGTTGACTTTGATTATAACCAGTATGAAGCAAATTTAAATATACACCTATATATTACATATTTTTTAGATACATAATTAAAGTTGCTTTAAGATGATTTCACCAAATTTGCGCAATTTTAGAGACAAAATTAAAAAAAAAAATAGATCCTGGGTGGAACCCAACATATATGACCGCTCAAAATTTTCGTTTTCATTATAAGAATTACTGAAAAAAAAAATTAAAATAATCGACCGTAACGTAATTGGCAAAATTCAAGTTTTTCAAGTTTTTTTTTCGAAAATTCGTTATTTCGAGCATCTAAAGATTGCAAATTTTTTTTTTTTAAACCTTATAGGTGGTGAAAAATGGAAAATTTTGCCCCCTAATAAATCGAAATCGGATGAGTAGAACTCAAGTTATTGTAAAAAAACGGAACAATTTGAAAAAAATCATATTTCCGAACTGGGCTGTCAAAAAAATCTGAAAAAATTTGAGAGATAGTTTTTCAAGCCCCCTAATCGTAGAAAAAATCGCCATCATTTTCAAGAGAGTGAGGGTTAGCCGTTGACTCATTTGGCATAGAATACCTCATACATTGTATATTACACATAGTTTATATAATATAGTGTAGTATAGAATATATTATAACATAGCATTATCGTAATATCTTTAATGAAATGCTATCACCATTCATAAAAAATCTAATGACACAATACGCTGAATAGATTGGCTTCAAAAAACGTAACACTGGATGTATTATATATTTTAAAAAACAATACATTCCTGGAACTTTTCCTCTGGAAAACTTGATATTAACTTCAGAAATCTAATATAACATTATTTACTACAATTGACATGCATTGAACCCCATGCAGTAAGATATAGGTGCGCGGAGCGCGCGCACTAATCTAGTACTCTAGAACATAACGGTAGTCGGACAGTTTTTCCCCGGACAAAATCTCCCTGTCCTACTAAATTCTTTGTCCTGTTAATTTGTTGTGAATAATTGGTTTTGCAAGAGATTTATGTTCATAACTTTGCTAATACGATTATGCGATTCGCCGGTGTGGCATAGGGGAAATGTATTAATAATTCCCAAATATTTATTGTTATGTGTCCCCTATCATTTCTATTACCTTTGTTCCTTTGTAATTTCTCTGAGGCTAAAGACTCGATAATTTCATGTGTTCTATTGTGCGATTCAGTTATAAAAACCCCTTTAATTGAGCATTCTCATTATATTTATTTTGGCCGGATCCGGTTTCCTAATCGCAAATTCCTTTTTCAGGGAGATTTTGTCCGGGGAGATTTTGTCCGAGAAATTTTGTCCGGGAGATTTTGTCCGGGGAAAAACTGTCCTAGAATCATGATATTGTGGTAAATATCTTTGAACGCAAGGGAAATAAGGAAATTTCCGTAGAATTTTTTTTTTCGTCGAGCCAAATGAAGGGTACGAAAAAGATTCAAAGAATTCACTATCTTCGTCGGATTCCAAGGTGTTTAACAAGAACTGAACTTTAAGCGACCTTGAGTTATCTCGTCTTATCACTTGACTAGATTATTCTTTCTTGCAGTTTTAATGATCAGGTCTCTGCAATAGAACTTGATGAGGCGGAGGGATTCTTCCATTATAGATCAGGGAATAATGAAGAAGTTCAAGAGGGCTCATACTCCGAGGAAAGAAAAGTCCGAGTGAGGAAAAAGAAAGATAATTTTTGACGTAAGCAGTTTTATGGGATTGGTGAATTGTAACAGAAGTAATTGAAAAAATGACTAGATTAAAAAAAAATCATTTCGGTTGAACGGTTTTACAACTATATTATAAATGAAGAACTTATAGGATAGATTGAATTTTCATAGTTTTTAGCAAAATCATTTAACAAAAAGTTATTTAAAGCAACAGAGGAAAAAGTTTTTATTTTCAAGGACATCACGCATGAAACAATTTAATAGAAAACCTAGCGAATTCGCTAGAAAATTCTATTGGAATTCTATTGAAAAATTCTGTTTTTTATACTGATTCTATTGGATATTCAATAAGTAAACGTTAATAGATTTCCAATTTCTATTTGAATTTTTCTCTTAATTTTTTTTTATTAGAATTATTGGGCACAAAATTGTCTAAATTTTTTCCGCGGAATTTTGTTTTGCTTTGCATTGTAGAATCCGAGTGGAAAAAACTTGGAAAATTAATGCCCAAGCATTCTTATAGAAAAAATCTCAAGAGAAAAATTTAAACAGAAATTCGAAAGCTATTGACTTTTTCCTATCGAATATCCAATAGAATCAACGCAAAAACAAATATAATTTTTCAATAGAATTCCAATTGAAATCCTATAGAAACTCCATAGCATTCCTATAGAATTCCAATAGAATTTTCTAGCGAATTCGATAGGTTTTCTATTAAATTTTTTCATACATGATGTCACTGATTTCCTCGGGCATGCCACTGATTTTTACTGAAAGTTAGTGATAATGTCCCTAAAAATTAGTCACTGGAAATTAGTGATGATGTCGCCAAGAATTGAAAACAAATTTACTGAATTTTCGAGTTTTGCAGTCACTGAATTTCACACTCGCGAATTCCTCATAATTACTATAATTATAACTGGGGGTGAATTCCTGAAAAACGGTGACATGATCCTGGAAATCAGTGACAAGTCCCTGAAAATCAAAACTTTTTTTTCTCCGCAATGCCTGCAATTCGCCGTGGATCACAGCAGTTGGTTTCCTTGTGACACTAAAATTTTGGACTTTTTCTGAAATCACGTTGAAATTCTCAGAATTCTAATCAATTTCACGATGAATCTCATGGGAAATAAATCGTAGGAATGGATTACCGAGATCGAATATATGAGTAGGAAGTTGCAATGTGAGTGGCAGCATTCGTTCGTTATCGATAGAATTAATTATTTGGAGAGATTTTTCCCACTAATGCTAATGAAACTTTTCTGACGAGCGAGCACACTGATTGAATTTAATTTTTCAGGCGGCAATTCCTTCTTCATATTCCACCGCGGGGTTTATGCTGATTAGGGGCGAAAATGGAATATTTTACCTTTCTATTCAGTTTTCTGCGGTATAGATGAGATAGAAGAGACTTGGAAAAATATTTTAGAAAATTTATTCAGCTGGGTAGAGGATGTTTTTTTTCCAAGTGATGATAACGAAAATAGAAGAACTCTGAGGGAATAATCACTCATAAAATTTAAGATTAAATTCTTTGGCATCCCTGAATTCCTGATTTTTTTAGAAATCTAGTGGAATCCGAGAAATTCCATGAAAAGTTGATGAAATTTCCGGAAGTAGCAAGAAATTCTTGTGAAATCTCAGGATTTTTGTCGAGAAATTTAAGAATTCCGCAATATGTCTTAAAATCTCATTTCAAATTCATCACAATATTCTGAGGAAGTGTTCAATTAAGTGAATAAGAAATTTATGTTACAAACATAGGACACTTAATCAATAACTTAATCAGTTGTCAAAGTTAAGTTTTGAGAATAGTTTTAGAGCACTCAATTTGTAGCATTCCCCCTCATTTATTACTCACTGTCCATTTTCCCCCGCTCTTCCCTACACTGAGAAAACAAATTCTAATATCTGAAAGATATTTACTTGAGACAAGTAATTTTTCTTCAATCGCTTAATTCTCCCAGGGATTTCGACTCGCGTGACCCGAGAACGGTCTCATGCTTGAAAATATTCTTCTACTCACATATAATTTTATCGCAAATGAACTCACTCAAATCGCGTAAAAGAATCGTCAATCTTCGAGAATTTATTGTTTTCGTGATTTGTTTTATGCATTTCCAATGTTTCGGTATGTAATATACAGGGTGTCCCAAAATGAAATGTCATCCTCATAAGAGAAAATATGACAAAGATGTGGATTTTCCATGGGAGGGGGTTTTGCGGCTGATCTTCACTTTTTTTAATCAAATAACTTTAATAATAATGAATAATATTCATTAAAGTTTTCGTCTCCAAATGAGCCCCCCGAATTACCCTCTCGAGGATGATATTTCATTTTGGCACAACCTGTATTTATGATGTACCGGAGAACAATAGTGATGAATGAGATTTTTTTCGAATTCCGTGAAGCGCAAACATTCTAACATTTAAGTTATTGAAAATAACTTACTTCTCGTAGGCAAATATGATCTTCATATTA